GAAACTTTCCACCTGTATCAAGCCAAGGCAGACATGTAAATGTGTAGTATTTTCAGGAAATAATCAAGGTCAGACTATTAATCTACTTTTTGCTTTGTGAGAGATAATTTCAATGAATTGTTTAAAAAAACACTAACTTACAAATAACAATTATGTATTTATTATAAGGACCACTCTGATTATGATAACATTGTCGACCCTAAACTCTTAAGTTACACTGTAACCTAGAAGCATCCATCAAAATAAAACGACTGATTAATTTTGTTTGAAAGTCTATTTTATTAGATATTAGGATAGCTACCCCAGCTTGTTTTCTGAGTCTATTTGCTTGAAAAACATTTTACCAGCCCTCTACTATGAGGTAGTATGTATCTCTGTTGCAGAGGTGTGGTTTTTGGATGCAGCAGAATGTTAAATCCTGTTTCTGCAACCATTCTGTAAGTCTGTGTCTTTTTATTGGAGAGTTGATTCCATTGATGTTGATAGTTAATAGTGACCAATGAATGTCAGTTCCTTTTATTGTGGAGTTGGGAAGTTACTGTGTTTCTATGCTTGTTATCTTTTAATTTTTTTGTTGTGAAACTATCTATATCCTGTGTTTTCTAAGACAACGAAGCTAGTCCTAATGACACCTGATTGGCTAGGGTCAGATAGAGGGGGAGGAGGACCTCTCATATCAGTGGACTTGGAGAAGGGCATGGGAGGAGATGAGGGAGAGAGAGTGGATACACAGTGAATAAACTAATTAATATAAAAATTAAAATTAAAATAAAAAATGGCTGGTTTATTCCTTAGAGATTAGTATGTGAAATATGCAACATCTAATGACATAGGTAATCAGACAATCCATTTTATTCAATTTAACAATGCAAATGTTTATGTACTAATCTTCCATTAAGAGTTCTACAATTATCATGTGCTTAGCATCCCTTCTGCACAACACTCACTCCATGTGACTAATTATGTCAACTTTTGACCTGAATTTGCAAGAAACAAACAAGCCATAAGATACTTATATTAGTACTATCTACAACCTGTTTGTGTCATACAGTAGAGAAAATGCAAATATGCCAGTTGTTTTTGACTGGAACAGGCATGTAATTAAAATTATTTCAAATTTCACAAGTATAAAAGGCAACAAAAGTACTTCAGAAGAAAGCTGTAGAAAAGAGCCAAGAAAACACAAACAAGTTAAAAAAAATCACTTTCCAGAATTTCACATGAAGGGTGTTATCTAGAAATGACTCAGACTGTGAAAGCACATTACATTATGGGTCATGAGTGTGAAGGTCAAGGAGTGAAACCTCCCTTTGTGAAGAACTATTAAAGATTTGGCCGGGTACTTTTGTAAAAAGAATCCAACAAAAATGAAATAAGAAGCTCTAAAATTAAAAAGCTTATGGGTAAACTGACCTAAATCAAAGTAAGCAAGTTCTTTAAGTAGTGCTTGTATATGTGGACTCTTATATGTGGACCTGGAGTATTAAATTGAGTCCTGTCCATTGACAGCTAATTTAAAGACTTAAAAAAAATCATCCAATCAAGTAGTATTATACTATGTTGTTTTGTTCATTGTCTTCATTTCATTTAATTTTTTAAATTAATTACAGTTTATTCATTTTGTATCCCAGCTGTAGCCCACTCCCTCATTCCCTCCCAATCCGACCCTTTCTTCCTTATCTCCTTCCATGCCCCTCTCCAAGTCTACTGATATGGGAGGTCTTCCTCCTCTTTCCTCTGACCCTAGCCTATCAGCTCTCATCAGGACTAGCTGCATTGTCCTCCTCTGCGGCCTGGCAAGGCTCTTCAACCTTCTTTGAGAGTTTGTTCCTTTCCTATTTATGTGCCTCTAATAACTGGATAAGCATAGATTTGAAATAATTTTCCTTTATTTTTGATGAATTATCATATCCGTTGATTTTTGGGGGGTTGCTAATAAAGCCATGATGTCCTGATTTTTGTTGGATGTGTTTTCATGCCTACCTATAACTATCTGTTTATCTGTAACCTTTGCTGTTTGTTCCTGGAGTCTGTACTTCAGACTGGGTCTGTCTATCTTTGGTGTCTGGAGTATTCTTCAGGAAGATGAGAGAGGTTCACTGGTTCAAGTGTGAGTGTTAATGTTTCAGCTGTAGCTAAGGGAGGAACGTAGCATGCTAGTGAATGGAAGCACAGGTGTGTGCATGGAAGTGCATGTGCCTTGAAGGACAGGGTACTAGAGCATGTAGATTCCTAGAAGGGTGGAGCTTAAGTGCAGTATGGATTGCTGGCATTGTTTGTGGGTGCACTGGTCATGTACAGGTGCCCTGAGTACCTCAGTGTCCTGTAGGCCTGTCATAATGTCCTCCTGGTATTCAGATCTGTCTGAGATCCAGAAATTATTTGCCTGGACTCCACTTGTAGACCCAGAGAACTGGGGTTCCAGTGTTGAGAACACTCCCTCAAAGATGCCTATGTTTCCCCTGGTAGGGTTATGTGTGTTAGAGAACTGATGCTGCTAGCGTAGAGGAACCCTGGATCTGGGATCTCCCTGCACTCCCTTGAAGGCATGCTCACTGGAAAGCTGAGTGGTTCCCCCTGTTCTCTACTCTCATATTTGGGCCCCCAGGAGCAAATGAGAATGTAAGATATGTCAGCGCAACTGTCTGTTTGCAGCTGGGCAGGGAGACCCATACTTGAGGCAGCTGTCCCTGCTCTTCTAGTCACTCACCACAGAGGGTCCTGTTTGAACTAGCCGCAGCCTCCCCACCCTGCAGCTGCAGACCTGAGAGCACCCATACTGATGCAGCCTCTGCCCTCTCAGTCATTGAATAAGGAGGCTCCTGATTAGGCTAGCTGCTGCATCTGCATCTACAGACCTAGGAGGCTGACCTCTGTTGTCTCAGTCAGCAAGCTTGGAGGCTCATGCTAGGGGCAACTACTGCTGCCTCCACTGAGCAGGAAGGCCAGTGCTTGGGGCAAGGGGATGTACGTGTGTGTGTGTGTGTGTGTGTGTGTGTGTGTGTGTGTGTGTGTGAATATTCATCACTCTCAGTCCCTGGAGATGTCCATGGGTAACCTGGCTCCAAACTGTCCCAGCTCACAGATTGTCCCCTCTCGCCCAGGAAGCCTCACTGTCAATGTTCTGGCTTCAGTTGCCCCTCCATTCAACAATTTCGGAGTTTCAGATCCTATGCTCCTCAAATACAGTACAAGCTGGTGGCCACCATCTTAGACTGCCCCTTACTTTGTTGTTTTAATGCTTTTTATATGAGGCATTGCCTATCTCATTACTAAGAAAGTTAATATTGCAGATTAATTACTTTATACCAAATATTTTAGCTCAAGTGTTGATTCTGAAGTATTTCAAGAGCAAATTTTGACTTATTTATTGAAATACATCTTTTAAAATTGGTATGATGACATTTATTCATTTTGTGCAGTACTCTGTGTCTTGGTATTACTTCAACTAAAACATAAATTTTTGTGGCTAACAACATGGAAGCTACCCTAAAAGTAAAGAAACCAAGAGCATTTATAGCAGTAGCTCGATCCAATGCAGAAAGAATGGGTAGAAAGGTACTTTATTTCTTTAATTAAGAAATTGTGTTTCTTGTCCCTTTACAGGACTAGCCTTTTTAAAAAGTTTCCAAATTAAGACCATTTATATAGATCTTGAATAGACATTTTATTTTGGAAGATTGAGGCATATCTATGGTCAGTTACATGATTACTGGTTAAATTTTAAAACCCAATGTGATTTACTTATGATCCATTGTACTTTACTGCCAGTACATTGAAATTGTATAGCATAATCATAGAACAACTGATATAACATAGCAATGTCCATCCTATAGCCTGGCTAAACCATGTCAACTTTTTTGTCAGGACACCTGCACAAGCACAGTTTGAAGATTCCTTAGACAGGCTTTTAAAATAATCACTTCTATATAACCATACATAGGCAAAAATAAGCATGTCATTTGGTGTACTGAAAGCTATAAACATAACATTGCCTAGATAAGAGAAGATTAACCACAAAATATTCTTAACCAAAAAGCTGACCCACCCTACTGACATGCAAGAATGTGAAGATGAATGTTATGGACTGTCCTCCAAATATACCTTCATTAAACACCATTGAATAACCCTTTCTAGGCTTGAATCAGCATTAAATCTCTTGCCAATAATCATTAAATACCGAAAGAACTTCTCTCAGAGAACTCTGACATCTGTATTTCTTGGGACCACAAAAATGCTTTATTAAGGGGGAATGTGTAAAGAAAGACTCTGGTTATCTTCAGACTTAATCTTCACTGCCTAGCTATTCAGATGACATTTGTGGACATCATGTTGTCATCAGGCCAGGTGACCTAATTTTTGAGGAACTGTAAAGCAGTGGGGAACCCTGAAAATCGGTGGAGTCAGGAGCTTAAAACTAAAGGTTTAGCAGTTGTATTTTGGAACAGTCTTTTTAATTCTATATTCTCTGTCATTACAGAAGAAATAAGGTTTCCTTGGAAATTGAAATACCTTCCTCCTAAATGATTCATTTTATAACCTTCTTTAGAAATATCCAGTACTTCAAATTATTTATTGAGTATCACATACATAACACAAAACCAGGTGCTATGACTCTAAGGAAAGCAAATAAACTTGTAATTCTTCAGATAGCCAATGGAATAACCTGAAGTTAAAACAATTTAGGAAAAACATTATGCCTTTGAGACTCTATGTCTCTTAATTAGAAGCTTCAAAAAGTTTCAGTAACTAAACAAATTAAAGGGAATTCAAGAATAACTCTCACCAGTAAATTTGGATTAGTCTGGCAAATTTAGGACCTTAAATGGAACTTTTCAATAATTAAAAGGAGAAAATGGTAATTATACCATTTCTAGAACCTATGTTTACTACTAACATTTATTTCTTAATCACCTTCCACGTATCTTTTTGTTGTTGTTGGTGGTGGTGTGTTTGATCCACTTGGAGTTTATTTTTTTTGTAGAGTAATAAATATGGATTAAAAAACAGAACACTTCATCAATTTTTGTGTCAGCTTTGCACAGGGCAATGCTAATCTCTGTATCATTACAATTTTACTGTATGTGCTGCAGAAATCGTACTTAGTTTTAATTTTGTTAACATATTGAAAGCCTACATGAAGGGTAGCAGTAAAATCAAGTATTTTCTCTCAATGAAATTTGGTTTTACCATCCCTTCATGTTAAACTTCATAAGTGTTCATTATCAAAAAATGCAGTATTGACACTTAATTTTTATTTTTATAAAGATTTATTTGTCTCTCATTAATTGGAGTTGTCTTAGATTTCAATCACTGGTAGATGCTTCTTAGCTACATTTCTTGCCATGTAACCTATTACTTCTGATGAAGATGTTTTAGCTTCTGTGAAGCACTTTGCTTAATACCAGTGCTGTGCAATATCCATGGCACATGACCTTTTCCTTATTCAGCTGTATTATTTTCTTTTATTCTGGAGTTGTTAATTGAGATCATTAATCATTTTGTTAGCATTATTTCCTGTTCAACTAAGTGACTGTGTGATTGCCATTCAGGAAGGGATTGTACTGTTCAAAGGAAACACCTGAAATCTATTGAGTTGTTTTTCCATAGGAGTTTAATCTAAAGAGGCACATATACATATTTGAGTAGCTTATTGTATCTACATTGATTTTAATTCATTTTATATAACAAAAACTTTTTTATACTTAATTGCCTGTCATTATGTAAATACTGACCTATTTCTCTGCAGACAATTCCATTTCCTCACTTATTAGAGTCTTTTTTGATCATCAGGAAAAACATTAAAAAATGAACAATAGTATTTCAACATAATAGGAAAAAAAACACCCATGAACATACTATAGCATATCTTATCTAAGGCCTACATCCTTCATATATATACATATACATAAATCAGTTTTCATGACAGTATAACTTATACAATAAAATGATATCATGAGCTGTCATTAGTGTCACTTGTAAGGATGTTCTTAAAATATAGTCCTTATTTATCTCACCTTCACCTTTACATATTCTGCTTTCCTTCAAGTCCCATCTCCACTTCCTTTTCCATCAAATATTTTGCATTGATTTTACCCAAAATTAGTCTCTTTTCTCTCACCCTTTATTCTGCACAGTTTGAGTTAGGAAACTCAAAAGGCAGTCAAACTAAGAATCCTGACCAGGAATGGCAGCACACACACACAGCACTCAGTGGATAGGGGCAGGATGATCTCTCTGATTTCAAGTCCAGGCTGATCTACATAGTGTGTAGCAGCACAACTAGAGCTATGTAGAGAGACCTTGTCTTGAGAGAGAGAGAGAGGTGACAAACAGACAGACAGAGACAGAGAGAAAGAGACCAAGAGAAGACAAATATTTGGTTCTATTTATAACATGATATATGGACTATACTTTACTGTACAGATTGATATTGTGGCATTTAGCTGCGCATAGCTTCTCAGTATCCTCAGTATTCCCAGAGATGCTCCCAGAACATTCACTCTGAGAAACATGACTGTTTCTATGATTCTGTTACAATCTGTCTATTATGATGAATAAACTGAAGTTCTGATGGGTTAAGTGCCTTGAAAAAGATTCATAGCCTTAATAGTTTCAAATGTTATTCAGTTCTCAGCATCTGGATGAAATTTTCTTAAGATAAAATGTAGTAGCCTCTATCAAATATGAATGTCAATAGTATGCTAAGCAGAATATTTCATTCCAATTATAAAAGTAAAAGTTATATTACCTAATAGACTTATGTATGTAAGCCATAGAGTTGCTTACTAAAATATGCCCTATTAATTGTTTTGTTGTTTCCTAGGGATTTTAATTATGTGTATTTTCTTTCAGTATTATGTATTTTTCATTTTATCCATATTGTATTATGTTAGTTGTAAGTCCAGAATAAGTGAGAACAAACTGACAAATTGAACTAAGCAAGAAAGAAAATACTTTTGTGATTTGGTTTTTTTTTTCAATCCTTGAAACTCTGAGACTATGTGTCTTTATTAACTTTTGCTTTCTGCTAATGGTTTCTTTCATTTTATTATAGCTTGTAGCATTGCAAATTCATTTAATATTAAAAGATAAAAATGTCACTTTTGAAATGTTTCTCATTAAATTATGGGAAAATATTATAAGCGATAAAAGAAAGGAGTGCCCCTGGTACCAGGTTCTGTTTGCTCAACTACTATGGTACCAAATGTAAATTATTAATGAGATAACTCAAAGGCAATATTATTGCCATTGTATTATAAAGTTCATGAGTTGCTATCTCTAAAAGAAATATATGGCACAGGTCTTTGGAAAGTGATTTTTTTTTCTTATGCATCATTTAAATCCAAGTTTGACTCAAATTTTAGGGTTGTCTTCTTATTTTAGTTTTCCCCCCTAATGAGTGGCCCAGCATTATTTTAAAAAGTGGTGAATAAATGCTGTCAATTTATTTTATTCAGAAGAATTATTAAGTGGAAGTACTTCCAAAATTTTGGAAGGACTATATTGCTAAATATCAGAACACACTACGCAATATTATTTCTATGGTAATGGTGTATTTTGTATATTTTCAATTGAAAACAGCTGCTACAAAGGAACTAAGAAATTGTTGTTTATTTGGACTTCTTAGAATGGAACCAAAAGTGGTGAAGGCATTCATTTATTTCCCTCTCCTGTTTTGTCCTACTAAAAAAGAAAGCGTTATGGTGTATTTATTAGGAATTAAAACAATTGCTCAAAATTGAAGAAATGGAAGCCATTTGCAGCCTATCAACTAGACAGACTTTCTTTCACAAGACTTCCGGTGGAAGAATAAGGACACTAAGCCACCCATAAAACATTCCACTCTAAGTCTGTCCTGTCTACTATGTGTGCAGGGACAAAGGTGGAGCAAATATTGAGGGAATGTGCAACCAAACACTGGCCCTACTTGAGTCCCAACCCACGGGAAAACCCAATCCCTGACACAGCTCTGAGGGGAGAACGTATCACAATGGAAGGGCATCCTGAGACATGGGAGTCCAGGAGCCACACAGCTCCAAGAGCAGTCCTTCTCAGTACAGGTATTATAGTTCCCAGCTGAGCTCAGGATCTCAGGAGCCTCAGCCCTGCTCTGCTTCTTTGCTTCTTCCCTACTTCTCTTCATTGCTTCTTGGCTTCTTCTGATGAGAAAGTCACACCAGGCAGCAAATCTCATAAAAGAGATTGGGAGGGTCCAGGGTGTGAAGGGATTGATCCATGGTTAGCTGCTCTTGCTCCTGGGAGAGGTCATTAAGGACTGAGTAGAGGATTGGTCGAATTTCAAATGCTGAGCATGGGGAAGCTCAGTGGTTGATAGGTTTTCCTTTTCATGGATTTTTAGGTTTCTGTGGGAATCTCAGGATTTGGTGGCTTTTTTTTTTTTTTTCAGATTTCTTACCTAAAATTGGCATAATCTCAAAAGGTTTTATTGACAGGCTGGTGATGTCCTTTGTGACAGTTACAGGGGCTGGAAATGCTGTTCTGACAGTTAAAGAGGTCTGGAGGGAGAAGCCTTGCTGCTGGAGCTCCTCTGGCAGGGGCCTGGCCAATTTCTTTCCTTGAAGGTTTACAAAGATTACAAACAGGGAAGCATTTTCATGCTGATTGAGTCTCATGAATAGACAACAACTATTTGTTCCATTGTTCATGAAGGAAATGTGTAGTATAAATTGAAAAGCCACCCATAATGTACTAAGTTATGTCTCTACACAGAGAAGACCTTCTACCTAACCTGTTCCCTTATAGTCTAAAAATTTTGCCTTATTCTTCAAAATAATATCAATATTCAAAAAAACATCCGGATCTACTATAAATCTTTTAATAAATCATTTAAAAGGCTACAATCTATTTCAAATAAAGTTTAATCCGCTGTTTGTATTTACTATATTTTTTTAAATTGTAATTTAATTTTATTTTTAAATACACTTTATTTACTTTGTATCCCCCCTCTAGTTCCCTCCCTCCTCCCCTCCCAAACCCTCCTTTCCTTCCCCTTCTCCACTCATGCCCCTCCCCAAGTCCACTGGTAGGGGAGGGTTTATTTTTCTTCCTTATGATCCTAATCTGCCAGGTCTTATCAGGAATAGCTGCATTGTCTTCCTCTGTGGCCTGGCAAGGCTGCTCCCCCATCAGGGGGAGGTGATAAAAAAGCAGGCCAATCAGTTCATGTCAGAAGCAGTCCCTGTTCCCACTACTATGGAACCCACTTGGACACTGAACTGCCATGAGCTACATCTGTGCAGGGGTTCTAGGTTATCTCCATGAATAGTCCTTGGTTGGAGTATGAGTCTCAGGAAAGACCCCGGGGTTCAAAGTTTTTGTTCTGTTGTTCTCCTTGTGGAGCTCCTGTCCCCTCCAGATCTTACTATTTCCCACTTCTTTCATAAGATTCCCTGCATTCTGCCCGAAGTTTGGCCATAGGTCTTAACATCTGTTTTCATAGTCTGCAGGGCAGAGCCTTTCAGAGGCCTTCTGTGGGAGGCTCCTTTTAGTAATTAGTAATTTGAATAGTGGTAATGATACCAAAGTATAAATGACACATTTTTTACTATTTATTATTAATATTTTTAATTTTAGTTTTAGAATACATTGCAACTTTACAGAAAATAGCTTTGTACCCACCATGTTTTTGCCAGTTTACTGGCCAGTTTTATGTCACGCTAGAGTCATCTGAGAGGAGGATACTCCAATTGAGAAAATGCCTCCATAAAATTGGCTATAGGTCATTTTCTTCCCTAGTGATTAATGTGTTGGACACCTTACTGTGGAAGGTGCCACCCCTGGGCTTAAGAGGGTTCTATAAAAAATTAGGCTGATCAAGTCATAATGAGCAAGCCAGTAAACAACAGCCCTCCATGGTCCCTGTATCAGCTCCTGCTTTCAGGTTCCTGTCTAGTTTGTATTCATGCCCCGACTTCCATGAGTGATATATTATGGGGTGGAACTGGAAGCTGAAATAAAGGTTTTTCCTCCCCATGTTGCTTTTGGTCACAATGTTTCATGACGATACAGCCATGAAAATTTACCCATTTTATAACATACTCACTTATACTCCCATATCATTTAGTTTACTGTTTAATAT